TCGGCAAAGAACCGGCAAAAATTCGGCAAACGTCAGTGCACTAGCGAGACTGCGACGGGGCCATGGACTGCAAATAAACGCCGTGCGGTTGTGCGGTTACCATTGCACAGTCTCGTACTACCAACGCTTACGGCGAGGTGCGGAATAGGCGACATGGTAACTGTGAGTTCGTCAGCCTTTGGGAGTGTGTATCTTTTCAACATGCTCTGCGTCGAGAACATAAAATCAAACAGGAATCGACGCAAAGCGAAGCAGTACACCGCGCAAGTGACAAATGATGCGGTACATTCTAGATAACGTATCTGAACTTTCTAGTGATGCAACGAGGTACCTGAAACATTGACTGAGAAGTACATTAAAGTGCTCCTCACAAGTATACACTTTAAGAAATGCCTGCGCGTCTACTTAACCACCAAACACTCGAAAAGCCAATCTCTGCTATCTTCGAAATCAGCCCAGAGAATGATGAGGCAGAACATAAGTTTTAATTTCGTAATTAAGTCTGCGCTGTGGCATTACGCAATGCAAACATGACGCTTTGCATTCTGTAATGCCAAAGCGTAGACTTCATTTTTAGATCTTAACGGATTTTCCGCCTCATCATTCGCTGAGCTCGTTTCTTTGATCGCAGAGATTGGCTCTTGGAGTGTTTTACGGGTGAGTAGACGCACAGGCATTTCTTGGAATGTAGCAATCGTGTTCTTGCCTATCAAGTAGTTTGTGCAGAACAAAGTAGCATTACTCCTTAATTAATGTTATTTCGCGGTTTTCATCTGTCCGCAAAAAACTCAACACAAAACAACCGTGCTCGACGTTGCACATCCGACATTCCTAAGTCTACCCATCTTCCTAAACGTCCACGTGTGTCCTAACATCAGAAACCGGCGGCTTAAATAATAAAAACGAAACGTTGCGAATATGGAACCCACACTTTTACGCAATGCTGAAGTGACTCAAATCGGAAAACATGCATATTTTTAATAATATTGTTATCTCTTCTGGTGAGGGCTGAGCAGCCGTTGCATTCATTTTCGCGCACAAAAGAGCGACTCCTAGAAAAAAAAACGCAGTGTCACCGCCTTCATGTGAACAATGGGGACTTTTAGCAAACCGTTACCGTACTACAGTTACCATACTACCGTTACCGTGGACCGACGGCGCTTGCGCGTTCGGGTACCGTTCAAATCCTGCAAAAATATGATTTTAGCATACCGAGCATTCGTACCGCGGTACCGGAGCCAGCGCCGTGTATTTGGAGAGTTTGGCCTTTCATTTGTTTGAGTAGGTGAGCATCTCATGGCCAACCACAGGCTGTGAAAAAGCTCCTAGTGGTGGTCGGGAGCTCCAAAAATACGACTCGAATAATTTAAGCTGTTTTAGCGTCGCTAGAGTAAAAACCTGTAACTCTTCATGACTGAAAGCTTGGCGCATGTGAGGTTTTCGTCGCGTCCATTTTCAACGGTAAAATAAACGAACCTGCGCTCCAAACCAGAGCAAACTGCACATAGGTGATGCGAGATTGAATGCTTCTATTTCACGCTTTCAATGTCGTTTCCAATATTGTGCCGTCGGTGTCTCCTGATTTCTCGACGCTGTGTAGCATTTTTAGAAGAAGAAAATAGATGGTGCTATGGAGAATTTGGCAGCCTTTCGCATTTTTAGTTTACGCTCTAATGGGGAAAGGGGGGGGGGGGGGGGGGGTATTGGGCGCAGGCGGCGGTCTTTGCTCTGTCCATTGGTCAAACTCTTGCAACATACGGCTCTGGACGGAGCTCGACTGGGGCATACCCTAGCGACAAATGTTGAGGGAAATACATAATTTATAAAAATGGTGGCGCAATAAAGCAGAATAATGATAAAAAAAAGATCGGCATCAACCGTATACTCAGGGGCAGCATTTCTTGGCAATGCAGTCAAAGCTGTGAGCGTCCTTGAGCTGGCGCGCCCTGGTCACCGATGAAATCTATAAACGATTGCAAGCCACCGCCATGTCCCTGCTCGTGCCGGCAAGTGCGTGCAATTAAAAGCTTGTCAAAGCTATGTTCACGCGTACGCTGCACATGCTTGCACGCGTGGGCACCAGTGAGACGCTATAGACGCTTTACAGCAGCTGTGCATGGGCGCCGCCATGACTGACCTTCAGTTTTTGTTTCCGCTTATTCCATTTTCTTCACTTCGTCATTACAATAGCAGTCCAGGTTTTTGCCATCTTATATTCCATTGTGTCCTTCTTCCTAGCACTGGCCTTTCTGGAGGCTCGTCAACACCCGTTCCAGTGGCTCGGTATCTCCGTAAGACAAGAGAAGGTTAGCAATGGCGGCTGTATTCTTGCGCGTGTGTAAAGCCTCTATGCTTGCAATTGTCCATGTGCGAGCCCTCTTTGTGTCTTTTTATATACCACGAAAAGCTGCCCCCGGGGGCCATGAGCCCCTGATCGACGGTCGAGTGATTTGTTCTGTGTTGCATAGAAGAAATTACAAAGAAAAGAGGAACGCGTTCCGAGACGACTTTGTGTTGTTTTAGAGCGCAGCTCTTAGGGGCCCGTTTCCAGCCTGAGCGGCGTCGGCGTCGCCGTTGGCGTCGCCGTCGGCGTAACCGCGCCCCTCCCTCTCCTCCTCCTCCCCTCCTCCTCCTCCTCCTCCTCCCCTCATTGTGTAGTATGGTCCGGGCGGGTCACGTGACCTCGGGGGGAGAGGGTCACATGACCCGTTTCCAGCCTGTGCGGCGTCGGCGTCGGCGTTGGCGTCGGCGTCGGCGTCGCCCCTCCCCCTCCTCCTCCTCCCCCTCCGCTCCTCCTCCTCCCCCCTCCTCCCCCGCCAAGGTCACGTACCCCGGGGGGTGACCCCCCGCCGGTCACGTGACGGCCCGCCCAAGGTCATGTGATCCCGTCCCCTCGAGGTCACGTGACCCCCCGGACCTCTGCCCTCCTCCTCCTCCCCCTCCTCCTCCTCCCCTCATTGTCTAGTATGGTCCGGGGGGGTCACGTGACCTCGGGGGGAGGGTAAAAGAGAGGGAGGGGGAGCAGGAGGGGAGGAGGACTAGCAGGCATGATCACGAGGGAGGAGGAGGAATATACCCTCCACTCCTCCTCCTCCTCAAGAGCTGCGCTCCAATTCGGCGTTACAGGAAGTTGTAAACGGCTTTCACTTTTTTGTTCACTCCTTTCTTTATTTTGTTTGGTACTAAAGGTATTGTTTTACTTTATTCAGTTCCAGATTGTTTCGCGTTCTGATTCTCTCCCCATTATTGTAATGGAGACGTTTGTTTATCGGTATCACCCCTTCCTATTAGCTGAGAAACGGGAATAAAAGAGCTTTCTAAATAAATAAGAAGGAAGAGAGAGATCGTCACAAGAACGAAAGAAAATAGTTGGATGGTAAATAACCGTTCTCAAACGTTTTTTTTTAAATCCAATATGAGTGACGAATGGCAATTGTGTTACCGTGGCCCGGCTATGCACTGCACTTTGACCTTGTTGAATATAGTTGCGATAACTACACTGCTCGCCGCAAATACTGCAAAAAAAGTATACGCAGCCGGGACGCCCTCTCTCTCTCTCACTTTCGCAAGCACCTCGGGTTGAGTTTCGACTTTCATTTCTGAACACAACCGCTGGGAATGGAAACGGAACGATGGAAGGCTGAAGCCTCGACAGCGCTTTTCAGCCTCAACGACTTTCCGACCATTAGGAAAGCTTTTTACGGCTGCACAGCCGTTAAACGCACCCGTTGAGCGCCTCTTTAGCAAAGGGCGGGATGTGTTCAGCATCAAAAGGGCAAAGTTGAGTGATCTTTGAAAAGCAGTTGCTGCTGCGTTACAACGTTAACTACATCATTTGATATTTAGTCCATCTTGTATCGAAGCAGCAAACGCTTTGATCCGAGAAGGTCGTGCGAGAGCAACAGTATATATATGTATCAAAATGTGAAATGAGAGTTTTCTGAGTTCCAAATAAATATAAATCGCAGACAGTGTGTGCTTTCGTGGATGTCTTCATAGCTTAATAAAAAAAAGTTATCTTAAAAGTAACTAAGTTACAATGAAGAAGTAACTGTAACTGTATCACGTTACTTTAATTTTAAATATATGTAACAGCAACTTAAATACACTTTTGACAAACTATCTGCAACTGTAACTGATTACTTTTTAAAAGTAACCCAAGATTGAGTGCTTTATATTGCATTATTTTGCATCGTTAGAATACATATAACTCTTGTAATCTCCTTAAGAAGCGAGTCTTATTGTGGTCATGTTTGTTGCTTCGTAATTTGGCGTTCGGCGTTCTTACCGGCCAAAAGCAACACTCCAATTAGCGGAGGAGTAAAACATACGCAACTACACAATCGATGCGATCTGCGTTTTCTGTTTTAGCTCTCAATTATTGCACTGGGTGTCCCAAAGAGCGGCCAGGCTCTTTAAATCGACCGCAAAAATCAGTTTCTTAACCTATCGCGTTACGATTTTGTGCAGGGTTGCCCACAGGTGGTGCATTTTTTCTATAAAATTTGCAAAGATCAAACTTACCTGTCAAAAAAGTAAAATAAATAAAAGGGCTTAACTCCTATATAGATGCAGATAAGCCACCGGTCTTCAAACAATAGGGCGCCCTACGGTTTGAAGACCGGTGACAACTCTGCGTTTTTATAGGAGTTAAGCCTTTTTATTTATTTTACTTTTTCTTCAGGAAAGTTAGATCTTGGCAAATTTTATAGAAAGATTGCAGCACCTGTGGCGCGACCCTGCACAAAATCGTAACGCGATAGGTCAAGGAACCGATGTTTGCGGTCGATTTAAGGAGCCTGGCTGCTATTTGAGACACCCGGTAGAACGTCTCGAAGGCATTCTTGCTGCTATCCGTGTAACGGACGACAAAATCTCCAAAAGTAGCGGTAACTTTATTTTAGAGCATATGTGATCTAAAAAAAAACAACCAAACCTTCATCTGGCAAATATATTTGCCAGATAAAGGTTTGGTTTTGAATTCGAAGCCGTCCACTCACGAGGTTCGCGTATCCGGAGCCGTTGCAGTCGAGGATGAACGTGATGCGGACGTGGTCGAGCTCGTAGAGCAGCTTCTCCACCCAGAACACCAGGAAGCGCTTCATGTGCTTGGCCATCTTCTCGTTCTTTCGATGGAGCCGCACCCGGTGCACGACTGCGCGTGCGCCAAAAGAAAGAAAGAAAAACACTCCCCCCAATCGTATACTACACACGCTTTGCGAGAAACCACGCTTCGAAAGCCAGTCCGGCCACCATGGGTAGAAAACGCTTTACTCGGGGCACCAGTCTGACAAAAAGGGGCACGCCCTGACAAAGTTATAGGTGGCGCAAGTTACCACCAGTCCTAAAATGTACAGCCGTTAACATCCATCTAACCATCCATCCATCCATCCATCCAGGGGCTCTAAACCATAGAGTTATTATAATGTACGCTAGAAGTTCAACTGGCGCTAGCGTCTATGCGACTTCCGGGAGGCAAATTGAAGCAGGCAGCAACCAGTCTACTGTTGCGGTGCTTCTGTGCATTCCATGGGAAAACGCACGTGAATTTTGTCTATTCGCCGTAAAATAACACGAATAAATTTTGTTATTTTGGTTGTACCGGATAGTATGTACCTTTATTGATATTGTGAAAGTATAATTGATTGAGTTACAGCACTTTTCTTTACCACTGAACGATGTTAAACTTCACTCTATTTCAGGCTCAAACCTCTGTTCCACAGCCGGTGTGTAAAAACGAGTGACGATTATAAGCAAAATAACAATCGAAAGGAATGTAGATTGAGTTTAGCGCTCGCTGGCATTCCGGTGGCGTTTATATATTGCTAATATGTCCGTTCTGTCACTATATGAAGACTCCGTCGTGCATCTTGACAATCTGTTTAAAAAAAAAAAAGTATGAGGGCTACGAGAGGTGTGTCTTTTCATTATTTCCTATGTCGGGCAGTTTTAATCGAGCGCCTGTTCTATGGCTTCTCCCCATTCGCAAAGATTTGGAGCCTGCGGGTGATGATTTGAACCGAGAACAAGCATCTTCGCACATATTCACGAGCAGAAAGAATAAAACAGTACTTATTTATTGCAAATCTAACTATAATACGAGACTTTCAATTTATTATGATCGTCTGCATGCACAAAGACTTACTTATCCAGTCTTACTGCATAGTTCTTGCCGTCTCGGTTTTCCACATGTCCTTCGTTCGTTTGGCACGTGCGTCCCTCATGCTCAAAAGCGCCGACGCGTGTTCGCGCTAACAGTGTCCAACAGTGCACATAAATACACGTACGAAGCGGTTTTAGCACCGTTTTTTATGCCACGAATTTCAAATGAAAACGCTGTAACTGACCAATTTATTTCATCTGCGTGATTCAGAAAAGTTCCAAGCTACCTAGTACGTACGAATTATTCGTGATATTTGCTCTTATACTCGAGCGCAGAGAGAAAATGCACTCGCTTTTTCCCATAGAAATGCATTACCGTAAGTAAATTTCGGACTGGTTGCTGTCTGCTTAAATTTGGAGCAGCACACTAGCGCCAGTTGAACCTCTAGCGAACATTATAATAACTCTATGCGCTAAACTCGTCAAACACAAAGTTGGAGCCGAAGTTCACGAAGCGCACCGATTGGACTATCCCGACGATGACTTCGCGCTTTTTTCACCGGCGTCCAATCGGCGCACTCCGTGTACTTTCGACTCCAACTTTGTGTTTTCGAGTTTAGCGCCCCAGGCTTCACTAATGTCACCAAATAAACTATGTTTCTAGTATCGGAACCAGCTGCACAGGTTACCTTTTGGGCGCCGCCATTTTGGTGCCTAGTGCAGAGCGGCTGCAATAGTCCCTCTTCAAAAGAGCGCGCCATCTATTAGGTGCTGCGCCACTCATCAGAGTCCGCCATTGTTCGCGAAAGGAGTCCGGTCACGTATGGGACACGAGGTCTGCGTCAGCATTTGGCAAAGACTCGGATCCAAATACACGCTTCTTGCCCAACAAATGGCGTCCGCCAATGTTGCTTGATGGCAATTTCAAAATTAAAAAACGAAAGAGAAAAAACACAAAAAAAAACGAGCGACACGAACAACACCTGTCCATGTCGCTCCTGTTTTCTACTCGTCCTCGTATCTTTTTCCGCGCTTTTCAACCTTTTACCATACATAAAGTTTCCTGCCATTTAAGGCAACAAAGCTTCGAATAACTAGCAACCATTTTTTCAAGCACCATAGACGTCTTAAGCGTCGTTACTTCAACACGTAGCCTATTTGGTGGCTCTATAGTGTATAGGCTTGACCGTCGGACGTTCTACAGTGTACCAGCGGCAAAATGGCGGCGCTCAGAGGTCGCACTTTCAAACGCCAACCGACCATTCCAATGTTCGCCCCTCCTGCGCGTGGTCACTTTTCGCTACCCGGTTGTGGGACGCACTCTGGGCATGCGCACTACCTCTCTTCTGCTGGCTACAAGTCGGCGCGCGTGCGTTTCGAGAGCACTGACTCGGATTTTTTGCCTGACCCCAATGCCGCGGCCACACTGCTATAGCCTACATCATACAAAAGACGGATGCGTACGAGGCGTGTTACTAGGGAGTTTTAGGAAACCGTTTCTGGACATCCGATACGGTACGATATGCAATCCGGTACGAACTGCGCATGCGCTGCCGCAGAAGACTCGTATATGAGCCGTTCGTACCGGAGGGCCCATCGTACTGTATCGGAAGTGCAACAAACGGTTCCCTAAAACACTCTTACGTCTCGCATGATGGCCCCGTCTCACATTGGTCGTACAGAAACTGTATGAAGACATATTCGAAGTGCACACGTGTACGAAGCAAACGTGTGGCGAACATCCTGGAGGTGTGTCAGCAGTTAATTGTGCCATATACATTTCTGCAACAAACACCGTGTATTTCGTAAGATGCATAAAAGGGTGGAACTCTGGGCTTTAAATGCCGGAAAAGTGACTAGGGACCAACACGCACTGCTTACGAACAGGTCCGCGTTTGGCACGCACCACTTAGGAGCACTGCGCGCGTGCGCAGAAGCGAGATTCGGGTCAAATAAAGCATCTGCCCGCGCGCCGCTAAGACAGCAGCGCCACCACAGCGGTGTATGACGTCAGAATAGCGCGTTGGTGCAGTTGGTGCATACGAGAGAGAGAGAGCCTAGATTTGAGAGAGAACGCAAATCAAATTATAGAGAGTGCTCGAAATTTACTGGCGGACACCTCCTGCCTCCACTGGTTGCAAATGAGCAGGTGTACGTTTTCGAGTGGTGATAATAATGCGGATAGTCGTCTGCTTCTTGCTCAGCAGTTGCGGTTAGAACGACGCCGAGTTCTCTTGGTTCTTATTGGGGGAATAGTGGGTCGACCTCAACGATAGATGCGTCGAGGTCTACCCACATTTTTTTTTTTTTTTTTTTCAATCAGCCAATGAGAGCTTGGCGTGCTGACATCATCGCAACTCTGCGCAAGAAGAAGACGAACTTGCGCTCCGTACAGCCAGCCGAGAGGCGGAGATGCTTGCGGACATTCGACGCCTTCGCCACCTCCTCGCAGCTCGTGTTGCAAACGCGGTCAATAAGCCACGTGACCTTGATCGAGCAATTGGAAGCGCTCTCAAATCCAAGCGCACTAGTGTATAGCCCCAGGGCAGTGCACACGAGGCGCCTCTGTCGGCTGCTAGTCAGCGCGGCTGGTAGCCATAATGGGAAACTCTGGGAAGGCCTAACAACCGAACTGTTCGATGCAAGCTCTGCTGCAGGGTTCGGCGAGGCAATCGGACGTTCGAGCTCGAGATCCGGTTCAATGATGGCAATCGCGGGCCGTCTCAGAATTACACAAATCCCGCATAAGATGGCGCCACCTGTCGAACCAAGCTTCATTTCGCGAGGGATACAGTCTAAAAACAACTGCGTCTTGCTTGTGCTTTGAATTTCCGTATCGCACTGAGCTGATGTGAATCGTAAAAATGTTCAAGCTTTTATATAATTTGATCGGTTAAAATATTATTAAAACCAGCTCTTCCTTTTCTCCGATTAAAACTGTAGAATTATTTGATTTCTGTTTAAATAAAAAAGACTACACGTTTATTAAAAAAAATAGAGCTTTAGCAGACTGACAGTTTTTCTTCGTGAAATCACTCATTACGGAAGTTTCTCAGACGTGAAAGAGAATCGACAAAAATTTGGTCGTTGGGAGTTATGTGAATTTTCTATTTTATTTCGAAGAATGAAATGGGTTTCGGCAGCTGAAAGACAATCTTGATCGATCATAACTAAAATGACAAATTGTTCGAGGTAAAGGGTGTTTCCTGACGAGAAGATTGCCGGTCTGAACCGGCCGTCTTTTCAAAGAAAGCGGGCTAAATTGGCCCGAGTAAGCTCAAGTGAAACCAATGTCATCAACTATATTGGTTTCATCGATTATGTAAAAAAAATTGATAAAATTTAGCAAAATAAACCGTTTCTGCACGCCACTTTTTTTAAGCTACCAGCCCACGGACTACAATTAAAAAAAACATCATGACCTTAGAGTGATGCCATCATATGTATATCACCTGACCTGTTTGCTAATTAACAGAAATAGAGCGAAAAAGAAGCGTGTAGCGCAATTAATCGTTATGAACTATTATTTAAGTTATGCATTCAATGAGAGAAGACTATGGAACGAATATAAGGCCAATAACCGACGGACCTGGCCCGGCGGCGTTCGCTCTCGTCGCGGCGTCAAATCACTGGCTGTTCGTCACGTCCTTCGTGGGGCGAAGGGCACCGGCCAGTCAGGACGTGGTACGCGGATTGGCTTCTGCCTGGCACCGATGCACAGTGTTACAGACCAAGCATTCTCCCCGATGCCCGTCTGGACAATCTCTTTCCCAACAAACATTTGAAGGCTTATTACGACTCAAAGGTACATTATTATAGATTACTGGCTCGCATCGTGGAATTTGTTTTGCGTTTTTTTTTCTTTAATATTATGACGTGTTTAAACGAAGCTTTATAAGTGGTTGGTTTCAACGGATATTCACTTTTCCCGCCATGGCAACACTGACAGTCGCGCCGTTCCCGTCGGCGGTGTTCGCAGCTTGTTCGTCTCGTGGAGTTCAGTGGTGAACGCACAGGCGACGGCGCGTCGTTTTCGATTTTTGCCGCGCGAATTTTCCGTGAAAGTTCGCTCCATGGAGTCCAGCCTTTAGGAGCTCGCCCGTGACAACACAGCAAAAGTTTGACCCGGGAACAGGCGAGCTCCAAGTTGGAAACTTTGCGAAAAAAGCAGTCAAGTTTGCGAAAAAAAAAAGTCCGCCGCGATTGGCCAGCGCAGGCTTGAGTTTGGCGCTAGCCAATCGCAACTTGGTAGTGGGCGATCGCGGCGGTCAGCGAGCTCGACAACTTTCTTGCCCAGTGTCCAACTTAGAACTTCAGGTATAACATAATGCTATCTGAGACGGAGTTGTGCTTTTGTTGCTCTCCTTTATGCCTATCTTCGCTCCGTGGTCAAGTTTCACTGTATATTTGGTGATGATGATGATGACGAGGATGATGATTATGGTAATATAATTATTAATACTAATAATATTAATAATACCATTAACGTTTATTTGCACCAAAAAGAACAAAATGCAAGAGGCCTGCAAAAAACAAGAAGAAAACTGTCACTTGACAGCTTGAGGAAGCGGAAAGGTCCCCAAACAGACATTTTCACAGCAAAGCTGACTCGCACACATACAAAAAAGCACAGATAGTGACGGTATTAGAAACAAAAAGGAAAATACATAATATTTTGAATATTATGTTGCCGCAAGACGTCTGATTCGTATAAAATAAGACACACATAGAAAGATAAACTAACAGAGGTTCCAGAACACAATTGAGATACCCGTTTTCTATTCAAAGATAGACGCTCAAGGCATGCTGACAAGGCTACGCAGTTTCTTAAGAGATATGTCGTGGCAAAATAAGTCTGTCATATAAAATATTTTATCATCTTGGTAGTTTGTTTTGTAGCATTTCTAAGCCAAATGGTAATTCTGCAGGTGCTCATTCTCCAAGACTCATTGTTTCGTGTGTTATATATTGTTCAATATACTTGAAACAGGCAATCATTTGTTTTCATATCGACTCATTTTCATACTCCCGTGTATTTCACAGATCCTAGAAGACACGTATTTTCTTTTGTATGAATAGTTTCTTGAAAAAAACCTAGTGTCATTTCAACGGCTTCCAACGGATTTGTTTCTGGGCGATAAAAGGTCATCTGTGCTGGACGTATTTTCAGACGTTTTGTATTCGGCTTTCGATGGCCACTCTTGTGTTTTTGCGCCGTTTCTTGATGTGGTGAAAGCATCGGATTTAGTGAACTCTATATTTCTACTTGAAAAAAAAAAAAAAAACTCTATGATATCGCTTTTAGAGGTTTTTCTGCTTTTTCGCTGAGAAATGTGTCAAGCTCTCCATTACAACCAGTCTCATTTGGAGGTATTTCTAGTGCTGAGGCCACGCTTAACTGTGCAGTCCCACAAGGTTCCGTTTTATCCCGCTTCTTTTTAACGTATATATCATTGACCTTCCCAAAGTTGTGTCGTGTATCATATTACAATACGCGGATGACACTGTACGTTATTTGGGCCGTACCGATATCGAATACTGTTAACGACTTATTTTTCGCTGGCTTAATATTTCGCAATGAAATTTTTATGAATGCTTTGGCACACAGTGTCCTTAGATGTGGCGTTACTTTCTTTTTTAACTGCTCCTCTCAGTAGAATACCAGAATTGGTAGTATTTTGAAGTTAATGCTAAAACTTTTCTTTTCTGGCTTAGCAACTGAACCTAGTAATAACGCTTTCGTCTCTCTTAAGTTGCAATGTTTCTATTCTCTATTTCTTCAAAAGGTTGTTCTTAGACGCGTTCGGTCCAGTAATTATAAAATTGAAAAAGGTGTCCATTGTAATATTAGGAGTACTGCACGGTACAAAACGCAACGAATTTATAGTCACTATGGGGAAGCACTAGATACTTTTACGTTCCCAAGTTTTTTAATGAACTACCGGGTTACATTTCATTAGCAACTTCTACTTATAAGCTCAAAAAGGATTTAAAAAGACTGCTTAAAGACATAACGAAATATTAGAAACTTTATTTAGTACTTTTAATCTTTGCTGGGACCAGGGTGTAAGATAGACAGGTGGGGAAACAAGAGCCCTGCTTAAAGACATAACGAAATATTAGAAACTTTATTTAGTAGTTTTAATCTTTGCTGGGACCAGGGTGTAAGATAGACAGGTGGAGAAACGAGAGCCAAATGAGCGACCGGATTGTGTCCCCCTCGGTTTTCTCTTTTTCTGTGGCGCCATCTATGTGGAGCACCGCAAACTCTCACTCCAAGTGGGCGAACGCTGGCGACCGGCTAAACTGACAGGAAAGGTTTCTCATGGATTTTCAATGGAGGACTATCATGCTTTCGGTTTATTTTGCGCACTCTCCCATGGAGTTCCATGCAAATTCGATTCCAATTTTTTTCCTCTCGCCGCAGCGCCATCTGTCGGAAATCGGGCGTACCCGCAAGCAGACGAGTGCACAATCCGGTCACGGCGCGGAGGTAGATAAAGGCCGTTTCCCCACCTGTCTATCTTACACCCTGGCTGAGACATATTTTATGATGGGATGTATGGGCTCCACTGCCAAGCCATACCACACAAGCCTTCCCTGGCTGAGTCAGACCTGAATATACATTGTGTCTTCCTCAGCCCATACCTATCTTATTATTATTACTATTACTATTCAATACGCTTACTCCTACACCAAATGTTTTGACATAGTCAAGAAATATAGTCGTAAAGACCGATCAGATACTAAACAACTTCAGCTGTACGGACAGCGAAATGCCGAGATAAACAAAAATCATTGGTTACTAGAGACGTATCGGTAACTGTCGTTACATTAAAGGGAAGTGTGTTGCACGTATTTCGCCCTTAATGAAGTCACATATTTTTTTAACTTTCTGTGAGATTTATACTATATTTGTTATGAAAGAATAAGGCGTTTCCACTCACTTATCTGACTTCCGTACTTGTCTTTCCCGAGCGGAAACATGGCTCCGAAGTCGAAATACACTTGCGGAAGGTTCGCCACCGTGATATCTGTTCGCGAGGATAAAACAAAAATTAAGAAAAAACAAACAAAAAAACACTCGCGTTGACAACATTTCTTTTTTTTTTTTTTTTCAGGCTTAGTGTCGAATGAAATAGATTCGCTGAGCATGGCTTTCCCTGCTCCTACACTCGTATTTTTTGTTGTTGCGAGCAACGAAGTTATCACCTTCATATATTTTGTTGGCTATGACAGATAAGTCTATCCTCTTTAGAAATGTGTCCTCTTAAGGTTTCTTCACTTAAATAGTTTGAGAGTGAACTATTTTTTGTATGGCGACCGGGCCTTCTGTATTAAAACGCTGAGAAAAATTCAACATAGAAGGAAAATCACGGGCAGCAAATCTTTCTAAAGACGTCCTTTTATGTAAAATTCTTTCTGAAGCTTTTACACTATACACCCGCTTATCCTAAAAAGTACCACACAAAGATTTTTTTCAACAATATAATCAGAATATAGTTTCAAATACATATCCTTCCATGCCCATCTCAGTATACATAACTTGACACATTTCAACGAGACTATAACGGTTCAGTTATTTTGTCTATTATTTTTATTCAAGTTCGGTGATATTCTACCTGTGCCTTTAATATAAAATTTGTTTTTGATGTGCCGTTAAATTTTTTCTAACGATTTTATTATCATGATAGTTGTGTTGTATTCAAGCAAAAGTACAAATAAAACGTAATACAAATACAAAAACTTTTTTTTTACGTGACAACGTTTTATTTGAAGTAGTTTATGTACGGAAACATTGTGCAACTAAGACAAACGTCACTATAACAGCCTACTGTTCTTCGAATGTAAACCAATTAAGCAATTGATATCATGTTGTTACGTAGCTACGGTCCTTGATGCGATGCCTCACTTGTTTGAAACAGGCACATACCCTCCCCTGCCGCGCAGGCGCACACTAAATCGGAGCTTCCGACGAGCCATCCGAGTCCGCGCTCAGTGCAGTTTGACTCTCTGTTGCCAGCATACCTGTTCGTGGATAAATTTGTTTCTGGTGTAATTTCAAAGTTGAATAGACATACGCGCCACAATAGGCTACAACTTATAACTTGTGACAATACTGTGTCACGAATTCCACGTGAAATTTGAAACTTGAGCCCAAAATTGACAGTCGAGGCCTTTGTCTCCGTTGTTATTGTATACATATCGCTGAGATGTCGGACACAGATAGACGTCATAAAGCTAAACATGAGGGTAAAAAAAGCATTGAGATATATCCATCTGTACAAGAGATCTATGCACCCAACGAGATTATCATAGTAGGTCCGACGCTGACATTACGTCAACCGCGCCGCCATCTTGTGACACACTTCGCATTTCCAAAGCGGCCGCTGTGATGCGTTAGATTCAGACTTGGACGTAGTTCAACTACTCTACTCAAACTACTGTAGTTTAACTACTTTTTCGAATAACTTGGTAACTTGCAATTACAAATTGATTTGGGTAATTAGTAGTTTAATTTAAATACTTTTTTCAGGTAACTTCTACTCAAATTACTAACTACTTTCGAAATTATATAGTGCTAATTTTGCTCATCACGAAAGTTTGAGCGCAGAAATGAATAAGACGCCGGCAGATGAAGTGGCATTCCCGAACAAGGGGCCCCCTTGTTCGGGAAGGCGTCCTTGGGCCAAGGTGGCGACGAGCAACCAAAACATAACACCGGCACGCACGAACGCAGGAAGAGATGCTTAACAAGCCTTGGTCGGGTATTGACCTAATCCGGTAATGCACGCAGGCGCCGCGTTTCCAGCTGCAACCATGAAAGACGGGGACACTCCGAGAGTTGTTATTGTTTTCGGGTTGTTTGTCTTTAGTGAGTTCTGACTCAAGCGGTAGGTTCCACGGGAGGCGCCACTGGAATGACCTCGCAGCTGGGCGCCTGTTCCCATGGTCGCCTTGTCGTCAGCGCATACGCCTTTGCAAAGCCGGACTCCCCCGCGCACAAACCCTGGCACGGATAATCCGTTCATGGGAGCACGTTCCCGCTTCCAGCTACAACTGTATACGAGCGACGATGCTTGTTCACGTAATCCTTCGCGTCCTTCCGACCATCCATGCCTGGGAGGCCTCCTCTTTCGGTTTACTTGTCAGGCGTGTCAGGCGCATCAGAATATTGTAGTCGCCGGGGAGGATTGCGAGTTACCCTTGGGAGATCATTTTGTTGGACCCGGCGTCAGCGGAGAAGTATACTTCGGTTCATCATCTGTTAAACCAAAACAATTTTTTTTCAGTAGCGTAGTACTAGCACTACAACGGGACGCGCAGTCGTCCGGATGACCTCATCGTAGTGGCGCGAGACTTGAATCCTTGACGGTCTGGTGCACTCGCTCAGCGTACTCTCAGAACGACGTCGGAATAAAGAGGGGCCAGTCATAACAATCTCAACTTGACGAAGAAAAAAGAAAAAAGGAGGAAAGTTTGTTATAAAAGATCCTCTACCCGAGGCAAACCTCACATGTTTAGTCATGGACACCTAAGATGCCGACACTCGCTTACCCGACCCTGCACAGCTTGTTTCTCAAATTCAACGCTGCCGTTCCATCCAGCCCGTCGGTGGGACGTCTATTTAGCTTGGCTGGGGACGTCCTTAGAAGGAAAAGAAGAAAACTCTCCTATAAAGACCTTTGAAAGTCAATTGCTTCTGCGAGCGAATAAACTATTTTGGCGAAAACGCAAGCCACAGACAGACTGCATTTCTTTTAGGGTCGCAGGGTTTTTCATTGATCAAAACTGCTGTTCATTTTGCTACCACAAATATATAAAAAAGTAACTTCGAAAGTAACTTCGAAAGTAACTTCAAAGTAACTCGGTACTTTTTACAGTAGTTAGTAGTTTACTCAATTACAATTACAAATGCGTAATTTCTACTCTACTCCAATTACTTTTGGCGTCGATACCCAGTAACTTAACTTAACTACCTTTTCTGAGTAATTTGTACATGTCTGGTAGATTCGATACATGTGTTTCATTTCACTAGACACGTAGTGGGTACGTAGATGCTGTCATGCCTGAACCTTGCGGCCGTGTCGTATACACAGCCCCCCTGTTAATTTACACCTTAACGGGCGACACTTTGCAAAGATTTCAACGTCGTCCGTTGTCGTCGCAGCGCGCTCCAAGAAGAAAAAAAAACCTTCTCTCCGCTGTTGGCGCGAGACCTGGGAAGTCGGGTTTTCCCGTCGACAGCGCAGCGCGGAGACAGAAGAACGGGTAGCCCCGACATCCGGCCAGAAACAACGCGACGAAGGGAGAGTCATTCTGTCGTCTGCTTCAAAGACTTGTTTTCAAACATTACTCGCGTTTTGCGAACCCCCACTTTGGAAGTATCCAGTTTCTTCACGTCATGTTGGATGGTTTTAGAAACTTCCACCGCGCTTACCCACTTACTTCACGGATCACCGAGCACTCGTGGCGGTCGTCAGTGGCATCCACGATGCCACCCACGACGACTATAAGAATTGACCACGTCGTACTTCCGGCCTCAGGTACGTACGGCACCGTACTATCCGCAATGAGCGACCGTGCTACAGCTATAGTTTTTTTTTTCTTGTTTATTTGTCGCTTTTCCTTGGTACAACTAGAGCTGTAACATCATATTAAAACTGCTTAAGTCAAGACGTCTTTGAATATGAAGTCCTTAGCTAAAAACGCAGAACAAAATCACCGCTGTTAAAATTCAACTGAAATGGTGTGTGCGTGTGTATGTGTGTGTGAGTTTGGGGGGAAGGTGGGGTAGGGAGGAGGTACGTTTAGAAGGAACGAGAAAAAAGGATAACTGCCTGTGCGTCCTGCAACCCCCCCCCCCCCCCCTAAAAGGGGGAAAACTCGCACAGTAAGGGCGGTGGATATGATAATCTTAATTCACGGGTGGCAGGGCAAAAAAAATGAAACTTTACCTGAAGAGGCCTTACCATGCTTGTACCATCGTGTTGAAATAAATGCCAACAGTGACGGAACTTCGAGCCCACTACCGGCGCAGCTTTCAAGCTTGGGTTGTGCTTGGCAAGGTTCAAACACATCGAAGTAGGACGCGCAACCTCGCGGCACCCTACTCCGACAAAAGGGCAAACAGCTCGCAAAAAACAGGGACAAAGTAGAAGAAATGCACACAAATCAAGCGCCGACTCTCAGCTGAACTTTAATACAAATCTAAATCAGCAACACCGAACACATTACGGGGTCGTCAATCAACACGAGTCTAAAAATTCAATTCAATTCAATTCATTTTATTTACTCCCATAACACAAAATGGGCTTTATTGCGTAAATTAAGCGACGTCTTGCTGACATATTTTGTACCTCCTCTTTTAATCGCATAGGATTCTAAAATTTTCCTAGTCATTCGGTTTCTTCCCTTCCCAATAACCTCTGCTTGTTGAAGACGGGTTGACACCCACAGCTAGCACAATAAAAAATAAGTCCCCGCCCCTTTCCCCAACAGCTCCCACCTCTGACTGTAACGACAGGTCATGCTCCCGCAATCTGTGGTTAACGCATCTGCCCGTCTGACATATGTAGGCTTTTCTTACACCGTAATCGGAACATTATAAACAACTCCCACCTTTCAGTCAACATACTGATTTTCGTACCTTACCGAGCGAGGGACCATTATCATTTTTATTCGCAATTCTAGGGAAAAGTTGCGGCAACTTGCAGTGGGCAGAAAGCATCAGGGGTACATCGTACCGCAGCGCAACTTTTTTCAAGTTGTGTGAAATCTGGTGTATGTACGGAATGACATGCGATCGTTTTCTCGGCCTTTCCCTCTGGGGGCGAGGTGCCTCCTTTAGTTTTCTTAACAAGGTTTCCGCAACGCTCAATAAAATCGATGTTGGGAAACCCGTCGTTGTCAGCCGTACTACCCGCCGGTCAAAACTATTGCTAACCACATGGTAGCACGACATCTCGAGGGCGGCCTGTAGGCAAGAAAAAGCTGTACTTCTTTTTACTAGATGCGTTAACCAGAGATTGAGCAAGCATCACCTGTCGTTGCGATCAGAAGTGGGAGTGGTGGGGGATTCTTACACCTTTATTGTTCTAGATGTGGGTGTCGACCCATCTTCAAAGAGGCAGAGATTATTGGCAAGAACAGACCGAATGACAAGGGACATTTTAGAAGCCTATGCGATTAAAAGAGAAGGTACGAAATGCGTCAGCCAGACGTCGCTGAGTTTACACAGCCAAGATATGACGTTTTCAGACACTTCTTGACTGACCACCCCGTGATGTGTTCGGTGTTGCTGATTTTGTTTTACAGCGCTCTTTTACAGCGCGGCGACGGCCGCTTGCGACGCGGGAAGGGACGTCACTATCCTTTCTTATATAAAAAGTTTTGGTATAGTGCATTTACTTTTCATTCGTCAATCATTTGGTATAGACCCTTTCGCTGTTTACAAACATGAACTGACGGTTGCGTCCCAAGCGAACTCCGGTCGCACCGTCTTTGCAAGCCTCTTCAGCTTGCTTGTGTCACCAGTGCTAGAAAACATAAATGTTACACGAACAACAAAGCTGGAGATTTAATGAGGGCCTTCGGTTGTACAATATTACATCTGGAGGAGGCAAGTTGGTTTACAAGAATACTCGAAACATTTTAACATACTATTCGCACTCCTTTCTTTTGGCGTTCATATGGATGATTGGTGGTTCAACGTTTTATCTACATTTCAAGCAGCGGTGTTAAGGTGGCCTTCATTCACTCTTTTTATAAACCGGAAATTTTCTGGGACGTCAAAGGCTGGAGCACCACCTGGAGGTGTTTACCATAAAAAATGGTTTATAATGCAGCGGGCAATCGCTGCAGGTGACACCACAGCTTCGCCGTCCAACCACCTTCCCAGATTGGAGTCCCAACATTTTTTTTTTTTCTATTAAAGTTCAGTTGAGAGTCAGTGCTTGTCCTGTGAGAACTTTCTCTACTTTGTCCCTGTCTTTTGCGCGTTGTTTGCCCTTTTGTCAGTATAAACCATCTACCCCACATCGCCACCCTAATTCAGCCCTATACTCCAATGTCGTTGAACCTCGCCATGCACAACCCAAACTTCGAGTCTGCGCCGGTAGTGGGCTCGAAGTTCCGTCACTGTTCGCGTTTCATCCGAACACGACGGTAGGTTGCTCAGCAAAGAAAAACGTAATAACAGTACATTAAACAAATGAACACTCGTATTAGGCAGCTAAACGAAGTAAGCCATTTTCCTCAAGACAATGGCTTTATACATAAAAAAAAAGATTAATGGGTCTTAAAATAAATTTTTTTAGAAGTCTAAGTTCACTCCAGTGCTTAGAAAACAAACGACAACCTGTGTTAGAATGTCAGGTTGTTAGACGAGTGTCCCTCGTAGAGACGTGGAGGCCGAACTCACCGTTCACCTCGAACGTCTTCCTCCAGCAGAGCGCCGCCTTGGCCATGGCGAGGGCATCTTCGACGTTGCGGCGCTTCTGGCGAATGAAGCGGCGGCAGAGTTCATCGCTGTCCGTCAGCTTCTGCACGTCCGCCGGGTGGAACTGGTCTGCGGGAAAACCAACCACGCCGACAAGACTCGTTCTATCCTTACTATATATTATATTTATTTTCTATTTTATTCCATTCGATATTCTTAAGCCGCCAGTGACTGACGTCTTAAGAAACGCAGAGAGTTGAGGGTTTTTGTGCATCAAATCATGGCTCGACGGCCAATAAGGTTGTGGCAGTCTCCAATAAGAAAAACTCGAGAGCCAATCACAATGTAGGGGGCAGTGTTGCGGAGTTGCCATTCCAGAGTTGGAATGATTCCGGAATCATGCCGCATTTTCGCGACCCCGGAATGAAATGGGAATGGAATGGCGGCAACGTTGAGGGGAATGGAATGGGCATGAAATTAGATGCCTTTTGCCCGTAATGGAATGGGAATGGAATGGGCCCAGTTCTTTATATATATTTTTTTTTTTGGGGGGGGGGGGGTGGGGTGGGGGAGGGGGTTACCTTCAACTATACCGAGCCAGTCAGCGAGTCAGTTGTCCAGAAATAAAATGAATACAACAAACAAGCGTCAAAGCAAAGAGCAGAGGCGGGAGGGGGGGGGGGGGGGGGTGACGGTGGCGCCTTCCATGGACGCGCTAGCGTCGGGCTTCACTGGTGTTACACGAGAGCGAAACAAGAAACCAAGCACCAAGCAAAAGAAACGAAGGGTGCGGCAAAGAAAGAAACAGCCATGCAGAGCTCCTCATCGTCCTTCTTGTCTTGCTTTATCTCTCTCTCTCTCTCTCTCTCTCTCTATATATATATATATATATATATATATATATATATAGCTGTTGCGGTAAGGCGCCTGTGCGATTTTTCCGTCTCTTATATAGCCCCAGCCTTGTACCTGCTCCACAAGTCGTAACTTTAGTGCACTACTACGCTTCTCACGCGCTCAAAGTCTTTCTGAAAATGACTGACTTAGTGGTTTTCGGCGACGCTGTGCAAGTTTGTAATTGGAACTTGATGTCTATTCTAATTAATTAAAGTTAATTAACGAATTTTAATTAATTGGCCAACTGATCGTTACGATTAGCCCCCTATAATATGTCCCCCTGGCCGTATAACTCACCTCCACAAACCGTATCAGTGCATCTTTTACGGATTGTTTTAAATAAATCTGTTTGAATTAAAAATGAACACCCGGTATATATATATATATATATATATATATATATATATAAAACTGAGAAGAAAAAAACCCTTAGTGAAAAACAGCAACAACGGACGATTTAATCTTCGACGTTTCGGCCGGAGTCCGGCCTTCGTCAGGAAGTCTTCCTGACGAAGGCCGGACTCCGGCCGAAACGTCGAAGAATAAATCGTCCGTTGTTGCTGTTTTTCACTAAGGGTTTTTTTCTTCTCAGTTTTATACCCACGCCTTCGGCCTCCCGCCACCATGCCCGTTATATATATATATATATATATATATATATATATATATATATATATATATATATATATATACTGTAAACGACTTAATTTTCGCGGGACCTCATTTTCGTGAATTTCGCGAATCACCTACAATTTGAGAACAGTAGGTCCCGCGAACAATTCCGGTAAAATGTAAACACATTGGAATCTGCATTGAGATCTCACCGCGTCGCGAAAATTAGAACCCGCGAATTATTTCAAAGCATCAGCTTTGAGCTAAATTGCGAAATATTGAGCCCGCAAAAAATGAGTGGTTGCAGTATATAGGAACTATTCACTGACGGCCATAGCCGTGTGCGCGACTGCTGAGCGCGTGCTGATGGCGAGCTTCCACAGTTCTTTTGGAACGTGCATTCCGCACCCTGAAGATTGCCGGTCTTAGCAGCCTATTACTGTGGGCTCGTTCTGAGCATGCGCTCTAAACAGCACCCACAAATATGGCGCCCAGTGAATACTCCTTATATATACAGGGTGTTTCAGAGAACGCAGGCCAAATCGCTCCTGCGAAAACTACTCATCGCAACAAACAAAGGCTTGTGGCGTTTTCGTTCTGGGCTAGGGGCCCATTTAGGAAAATTATTACAGTCCGGGATAATTAACTTGTTAATTATTTTTGTGTAATTAACTTTTTTAATATTGTGTTTAAGGGCATGGTTTAAATTAGAAAATTGCTCAGCATCATCGAAAAACACTAAATCAACAAATTACAGAACAATAGAAGGCACGCGAAGCATTTTACGGCTTTCTGAAAAACCGCCCAAAATCGACGGGGTTTTAAGTTTCGGTTTGCTATCGGAGCGCATCTCAGCCCCGGCGGCACCGCGCCCCGTGGAGAGATAGTGCAACCAGCTTCTGCTGCGTCGCGCGATGACAGCGCAGCAGTGGTTGGTTGCACTATCTCTCCACGGGGCGCGGTGCCGCCGGGGTTGAGATGCGCTCCGATAGCAAACCGAAACTTAAAAACCCGTCGATTTTGTGCGGTTTTTCAGAAAGCCGTAAAAAGCTTCGCGTGCCTTCTATTGTTCTGTAATTTGTTGATTTAGTTTTTTTCGATGATGCTGAGCAATTTTCTAATTGAAACCATGCCCTTAAACACAATATTAAAAAAGTTAATTACGCAAAAATAATTAACAAGTTAATTATCCCGGACTTCAATAATTTTCCTAAATGGACCCCTGGCCAAGGACCAAAACGCCACAAGCCTTTTTTGTTGCGATGAGTAGTTTTCGCAGGAGCGATTTGGCCTGCGTTCTCTGAAACACCCTGTGTAGACGCTTTCAGGCCGCTGTGCATGGGCGCCGCCATAACTGACCTTCAGTTTATATTCCCTCTTATTCCGTTCGCTTCACTTCATCATTACCACAGCAGGACAGGTCATTGCCATTTTAGGTGTTACTGTGTCCTCCTCTCCAGCATAGGCCTTTGTGAAGACCCATCAACGCCCGCTTCACTGGCTCGGCATCTCGCAAAGACAAGAGAAGGTCGGCTATGGCGGCTAAATTTGGCGCGCGCTGAAAGCGTCTATATTTGCGACGGCATGGAGAAAGCATGCGCGCGCGCAGACAGATGTGGGAGATGGGGCGACTCATAACTCGCAGAACTCTGATAACTCGTTGACTCGCGCGCCACCAAAAGAGGATCAGTTGATGTTTTCTTATATACCTCGTATCACCTTATGTTGTACCGCAGCGATGGCTAGAAGCGCGAGCTCATCTCGGCGGCACAATCTCTCGTGACTTAAGAGCAGCTGCCAAAGCTATGGCTTTGCCAGCTGCTCTTAAGTCACGAGAGCTTGTGCCGCTGAGATGTGCCCCAGAGCAAGGAGCTCGTGCTTGTAGCCGTTCCTGCGGTAAATCATAACTTGAAACAGAGTAGAGTTCGAGGAGCGTTGTTTAGCAGGTGGCCAACCCTGCTGCCTTCCACGTTCATTCGCGCGCACTCCTTTGCAGTGCGAAATCTGGGCTTGCTTCGGCATTAAAACAAAACGAGATTCACTTCTCTCTACTCCTCTTGCGCTTTGCTCCGAAGCATGTTTTTTATACTGCATTTTTACGTGTAGGTTCGCCTTTTACTTGCTCTTCGTTCCGATGCTTGTTTTCTGTGTTATATGCTTTAGCATTCAGGTGGGTTAGGGTTACAAGCAATCAAGCGGATTTCCGCTCATTTTCTTTCACTTTAGTCTCTGCATACTTTGTTTCACCTTGCGATGGACCACTGCGGACGCTACGAGTCACCCCAGGTAATCCAGCACCGTGAGCTTAGTAAAATCAGTGTTTTTTTTAGGAATTTAGCTTTTTTTTTTGCAATAGTTTATGCTTTTGATAATGTCAGCTTTCAGCGGCTTAGGCCGGCAGCACAACAGGGTTGGGCAGTATCGCATTTCAGCAATGCATTTCGTATCTGTATTTCTGTATCGCAATACATTTTTTCACCAGCATCTTTATTCCTGTATCAAATACATATGGAATGTTTCTTTTTATTGCGATGCAATCAGGATGAAATGTATTTCGTTACATATCTTGAAAAATACCCCCCCCCCCCCCCCCGAAAAAACAAAATACAAGTCTGAACGCTTTTATATATGCATATATCTGAGGGCATTAAAATCAAGGAGATGTTGGTGCATTGTTACTATGCTGAGCAAGGTTCCTTCAGATTTTCCAAATTATTTCTCTCTTCTGAGAAATGTTGCGTAGTCGGGACTCGAATCATGTAGCCTGCCAGGAGTCGAGTCAGAGTATCTTCTACCGCAGGTCCTTCGGTAGGGATTTAATGAGTCATAGTTTACTGGCATCCAATGCCCGCTGCTAGTTAGTTGGGTCTTGAGAAACAGGAAATCGGAAAGCAAAGCAAGTGTTGCTTGGCCTGCGGCCGAGTAGCTGAGTCACAGTCCGTTGCAACACAAGTCTGGCAGTGCTTGACTTGAAATAGTAGGAGGACTGACGCAGTGAAATTTAACACCTATCCGAATGCGTTTGCGTCTGTAATATTGCACTGCTCAAGGGTACGTCATCAGCCCACGTGAACGTGACCCGCTGCTCTGGTGATCCAATAACCAGGAAGGAGGCCAGACTTGGCCTCACTGTGCCGACCCAGACTTCGTTAACCTGCGACTCGTCTCGTGCGCGCTGTTTCTCAGAGAGCTCGCACCTGTGCCAACCATTTCCGGTCGCAATCCACGAGGTCTCTGTTTGGATGATGCTAGGCAAAACTTAAGGACTACCATTCATGTGTTGGAGGCGGAGGGTCGGCAGGAAAGACCGTCACAACAGGGATGCCACCGCATCGATTTTTCAACCGTAACAGAAGATAAGACGTGTGCGCCAGGAGGCTTCAGGTGGTTCACTATTCTCGAAATTTCCAAATGCAACTGCCTGCATGTTCTTCAACGACGTCACCTACAACAAAAGTACGTATTGGCCTTTCATACAGCAGCGTGGGTAAAGTTTCATGTCCAAGGCAACACCTACAGATACAATAATACTTGTTAATTCCACCGTGACGTCATGTGATCAGTGTTGACAGGGGCGCCCTTATTGGAGAGGGAGTGGTGATGTTATGATGGAATGTATT